AAATTTTATGATGCAAAACCCCCACCCTGATCAGCTGGAAATATTTAGGTAAACTGTCAAACAGCAATGGGACTGTTGACATGTCTACCCACCAGGAACCAGTGTTATGACCTTCAAGGCATTTGCTAGGGACAAAGATCAAACTCAATTCACTCTAGCTACCTAACAAGAACTAGAGAACAAGCTCTGAGAAAGTAAGAGAGAAAAAAAAAAACAAAAAATTATCTAAGTGGGAGCTCAGAAACCCATTCGGTGTAAAACGGGCTAGGGAGTTAATTTATTTAGTGAAGATAGAAAAAAGAGAAGATGATTTGATCCTGCCCTTTAGCCTGGAGGAATTTGAGTAGATTGAGTTTCCTCTCTAGGGAAGACCATCTTATAATGATTAGACTGTACCCTAAAAGAAGCACTACATGGAACCAAGGATTCTTAGCAAGTCACCAGAGAGCAAATTGTGTAGTTGCACCCCCCGCCCCCGGAATATCTAGAGATAATAATGCTTTGGAGTAATTTTGGTGGAGTAAAGATGGTTGGGACAGATAAATTTGGGAATATTTTCATTTACACACACACACACACACACTATATATATATATATACACACAGTATATATAGTGTGTATATTTATATATGTGTATATATATATTTATATGTGTGTGTGTGTGTGTATATATATATATATAGGAGATAGGGCCAAAGGAAAAAAAACCCTCAGATCTTTGGGTAACTTGCAAGACAGTTTTCCTTTCAAAAGTGCTCATTCATGTAGATGTTGGCCTGCTACTCAGGTCACTATTGTATATTGTCTGAACAGAAACAATTTCATTTTGTAGAGAATTTATCATCCTATTATTTCTCTTCAGAAACATCCTTCTAATGTAGAAGGTAGATGGGGCAAGTGTCCCCTGGGAATCCATGTTCTCATGCTTGTTATATCCAATCTAGCATATTCTGTTGTGAAAGTGTGTATTTCCAGTTTGTTGATGATCTAGATGACACTTTCATGAGGGATTGTAGAATTCAATTTTAGTTCATTTACATAAAACTTATGGGACTTCCTACCACACACTAGGCATTCAGTGAGCAGTAGCTCTTACTAGTTCTTTCTCTGTTTCACATTTGGCTGCTCTGCACATGTAGCTTACTTTCTCCATTCTAAGTAATATGCAGAGGTAACCTAGTCCAATGAGTGGGCCTACAGAGAAGAACAAATGCTGTCATGCAGAAAGATTCTAGTGACTTCAAAGTATAGTTTTGGAAAATCTCTTCAAATCCAACCAGTGCACAATGGAAAACCCCTAAAGAACCAATCTAATTATTCAATTAAATGGAACCGTTATGCTGACTTTTACTACAGAGGGCAAGCATAATTTAGAAAATGGGGCATTTTAATTCTCTTTTGTTTTCTAATTAACACAATTGCTCTAATAGGGAGTACTTGTGCTTGAGTATATGTTTTTCCAATATATATTCTGTACCTGATTTCAACCTTTCTCTCTCCAAATCTAACATGCCCACCTGTTGACACAAAGGCTCATTTATTACAGTGCTCACACTGCCTGCATTATGGTCTCTGAGCACATATTTTCCTGCCATCAAAGCGGACATGAGCAGTGCAAGCCCACCACGCAGCTCCACTTTCCCTGGCGGGGATAATTAGGATGTGGAAGTAACGGAGCTCTCACTTTTTGCTGATGCCAGCTTACCACCACAGACCACATGAGTTTACTCTTAGTGGAAAGTGGTAAAGAAAATGCTAAGAACGTTGATTTTAATTGGGCTACATTATTTAGACTATAGTGCCATTGTTTTATAGTCTTGTGCTTTGGATTTTTTTTTTCTGCCACCAGCCATCAGCTTGTGATGCACATTCTCATTTGCTTTTGATTATTCAACAGTGATGATTTGAACAAATTTAAGCCTTTTTTCTTGTTACCTTAATTCATCTTCCTTAATATTTGTTCAATTTTCTGCAACAGGCTGGCACTCTCACATTTTCATAACACTGCTTCATGGACTGAGATGGATAGACTATATATATATATTTTTTTCATAACAGTGCTTCATAGACTGAGATGGAGAGATTTTATATATATATATATATATATATATATATATATATATATATATACATATATATCCCCTCAACTACTTGCTTTGACGATAATGTTTGTTTCTTAGCTTTAAAAAAAAAAAGGGAGAGAATAAGGGAAGGACTGACATTGTCGAAAAAGAAATGTGCTCATTACTGACTTAGGTAACTGTAACCCCTCTGCACATCACCCTTATAATAACAATTTTTAAGAAACTCAAAGATAAAAGAAGAAAGAAAACTTTAAAAAAAAAAAAGGCAAAGGGCTTCAGTGAGCAGAACCTGGTGGTGGTAGGCACATTGAATGATTCTTTACTGGACATGGTTTTTCATTTGTTGTTATTTTATTTCTGCATTGCTTGGACAAATTCCTCTTGAACTCTGAAAATATTTAGTTTTGTGACTTTAATATGACAAAAGGGTTACATACAACATGAGAGGCCAGTAAAAGGAGACATGTATGTTTTAAAAAGTAAACTGTGTGTGCCTGTATGTGTGCGTGTGCATACGCCAGTATCAGGTTTGAACTCAGATAAGAGTTTCTTCTTTAGCTTTTGTATGTATGTCGGGGCAGAGGATGCTTGAAGTCAGGGATTGGGTGCCCAGGTTGGTTTTGAATCGCCATCCTCAGATCTCCCAGCCTCCTGAATAGCCAAGATTACAGTGTGTCCCACTGCTGCCCAGATCCCTCAGCTTTTTTTGCTCAAGGCTGGCACTCTGAGCACTTGAGCCACACCTCCACTTACGCCTTTTTGATGGTTAATTGCAGGTAATAGTCTCAGATTTGTCTGCTTGGGTTGGCATTGATCTTTGATTGTCAGAACTCAGTCTCCTGACTAGCTAGGTTTACAGGTGTGAGCCACCAGTACCCATCTAATCTCATTTAGAATGTCTTGGAGGGTTCTGGAAGTTAGATGCTGAGCTAAGCATAAGAAGTGTGGTCGTTGTCTTTGGACGTGGCCCCACCCACGTCCTTTGGAATGATCACATGGCCCCGGTAGCCTTTTCATCCTTGGATGAAGAGCTGCAGTTGTGAAGTGGAAGCAGTGGGGCTCCTGCTGGGGCTATTTGTCCTGCTCAGTCTCCACAGTTCCTTACAGTTCACATAGGCCCATAGGCCTGTGCTGAGAGCAAAGGCCAGGTTCTTGTCTAATCTCTCCCGGTCACTTAGTTTCTTCAACCAGATAGAAATTAATAAATTAATATGAGAATGAGAAATTATTTCATGCAGGGATGAATTGAATAAAACGGTAGAAAAAGCCGGGGACCAGTGGCTCACGCCTGTAATCCTAGCTACTCAGAAGACTGAGATCTGAGGATCTTGGTTCAAAGCCAGCCCGGGCAGGCTCTTATCTCCAGTAAACCACTAGAAAACCGGAAGTGGTGCTCTGTGGCACAAGCAGTAGAACGCTCGCCTTGAGCTGAAGAGCGCAGGGACAGCGCCCAGGCCCAGAGTTCAAGCCCCACGAATGATTACAAAAAAAAGAAAGAAAGAAAGAAAAACGGTAGAGAAGTGAGGATGAAGAAGGTAAGCTTGCTTACCTAGTATCTTACATGTATTTTTAAATAAGTAAGGATAAAGGAGAAATTATTTAAATTACAACTAGAAATAAAATGCTTGACATTAAAGATAAAAAGTAGAAATTAGGAAATGGGTGCAAACCAGAGGATTCGTTTATAATAATACTTAAAATGTCCATCTGTGAGTGAAATATTTTCATAACTTAAGAAACACATCTTTAAATTACTATGAAAGTTTTAATGTTTTTTAAGAAGCATTATCATTTAAGAAACAAATTCAGGACCAAATGCAAATATCAGTTGTTCCTGGTTTTACAAGGCGTTTGTTTTCTGGCTTAAGTACCAACTATTTTTCTATAATACTTGGGAAATAATTGTGAGGTGGATGACAATAGGGACCGTTCACTGAAAGTTTTCCCTGAGCCAGGGTGAGCAAATTGTGACCCCTCCTCTTAGTGGAGTCCGGCTTCTCAGCTCCTACAGAAGCCTAAGGTAAGAATGGTCTGGCCTTTGACTTGAAAAAGCGTGTCGATCCCTAGTTTAAGAGCCCCGCTTTTTGCATACACCTCATTTCATCCATGCCACGTTCCCAGGGGGCCGGCGTGATGAAATTGGGGCTCAGAGAGGCCGAGTTACTTGCTCAAGACAACTGAGTAGAGCAATCTGGACTTGAACCCCGGTGTCTGGTCACAGAGCCCGCAGGTGCACCCTGCGTGGTTCCAGGGATGGAAGAAGTCCGATGACCTTGAACCACACAGGAAGGACTCGGCCTGCTGGCCCACAGGACAGCGGTGGGGAGCCGCGGGCGTCCCGGGGGCCCAGCCTCTGCCAGGCCCGAGTGCTGCGCTAGACACAGGCGGCAGACCTCAGCCGCTTGGCAGGTGCTCATTGGGCAGACCTCAGCCGTGTGGCAGGTGCTCATTGGGCAGACCTTAACCATGGCAGGTGCTCATTGGGCAGACCTTAGCCGTGGCAGGTGCTCATTGGGCAGACCTCAGCCGTGTGGCAGGTGCTCATTGGGCAGACCTCAGCCGTGTGGCAGATGCTCATTGGGCAGACCTCAGCCGTGTGG